AAACCTTCGAGTTGGATTATACTCAACTCCAAGGCACATCATTTGCAACATAGCTCAAGGCAAGAAGGGCTATTTTCCAACCAAAGACCTTCGAGTTTGACTATGCTCAATTCCAAGGCACATCATTTGCAGCATAGCTTAAGTCGAGAAGGGCTATCTGTCAACCAAAGACCTGACGAATTCGATTTCATTCAACTCGATGACAGCAATGAACTACTTTCTGGAAAAAATTTCAAGTCAAAATCTTTAAACTGAGAAGAAGACAAATGCCCAATTCCAGGAAGCCCAATCATATTTGAGAAGACTGAACAAATACTGATTGTCTTTTTCGTCTTTGCTCTATTCTTGTTAACACAATAATGTGCAAAGAGGGACAACTGTAGACATCCATTTTTGACCGGGTTTTATATTATTTTTTTATTTATTATTATTATTATTATTTTTTTACTTTTTCAGGCCTATGTTTAACCCCACTATCTCCATCATTCCTCAAAATCCCTAAAAGCAGAATTTCTGTTGTTGTCAAACACCTTATATGAAAGTGGATCATTGTGCGCATAGTGGGGGAGTAGAGGTTGTTATATTCTTTCTCCACGATTCTCGGCAGGACCAGCTTGTTATATAAACTGGTTGCAAAAATGCAAACGGGGGACCTTGGATTCTGAAGAGGGGCAAGAGAAAAGCCAAAAGAGGAATTGGAGAGGGAGAGATGGAACCCACTTCCAGCTTCGAAAATGTCGATCAAACAAAGCTGAGAGTAGAGCCTGCCCTGGAATAACAAAACAGTAAAACAACAATGAGTTCCTCCTCCACAGCTCTTCCAGAACTGCAGCGCGATCCCAAAATACAAACAAAGCAAATCTAGCCATGGGTAACACCGAGAAGCTCTTGAACTAGATTATGGAACTCAAATTCACGACTAAATCGCTTCAACGCCAGGCGGTTATTTCACGAAGTGAAGACTCTGATCAACCACAGATGATGGGACCATGAGGGACATGTTCATGCTCATACGCATGCCACTCATGGACTTGGATATGTAGAACGTAGAATTCGAAACTACAGATTGGAGCTCGAGAAACGCCTGCAACTGGCGCAAGCAAGGAAAGCAGCCTTAAGGAAGATTCATGAGCAGACTGTATTACAGGAGGTTCGTTGGATGGTTGAGGATATGCAAGCACTAAATAAAAGGCTTGAAGAAACAATAAGCTTTTACTTGCACTTGGAAATGATAGCTTTTGCTGATTAATATTTTAATATAGTTGATTTTCAAATTTTGGCACTGCCATTTATAACCTGGACTCATTCGTGAGGAAAATGAGCCAAAGAGTGTCCTCTTAGGTGTAAGTATGAATTCTCTTTTTATTCTTTTGGTGTTTAATTTACTAGCTAATTTATAACAAGTGCCAGTTTTGGATTACAACATTTTGAAGTATTCTACAATTCTTTATAGTATTCACCTATATCTGTACATACGTTGCTTTGATCATATCCTTGGTAGACTCATGTGGATGTACTCCTAAACTCAGAGTCCAAGTAACTTAAATATGTGCTTACTTTTGTCCATTGTTCAATTTTTAATTGTTATTTACCTTAAGTAACCATGCGATTTATTTAATATTTATTTTCAATCTAACATTTTTTTGACTTTTTTAGGGGTAATTTCAATCGATTAAAGGTAATTATTTTGAATTGAATTTTTTAAATTTAAATTTAAATTTTCTAATTTTCGCAATTAAGACAACTGACAAATTAATTGGTACCGAAAGGATAGCTCAAGGGTGCTAATCATTCCTTGACTGTAGCCGACTCTCGAACCCGACATATTTCTGGTAACACACAGATCAGGTAAGATGATGTTCGATCAACCTAAAATTTGTTTTTAAATGATCGGTAGCGACGCAACCCAATTATTTCAAGTCGAAGCCCAATTCTGAGTCCAACAGAAAGACGGCCGCGACAGTTTGCTTTCTGTGTTTCGGTTGCCCTAACTGTGCCCGGGAATTTTCTCTCCATACATCCTGATTCTGAGGAGAATAGGTATGTGGAAACTATATATTTGTTTCGGTTCTCATTGTGTATAAACATAAAATTTTGGGTAACGTGGAATTCAAAGGGTCAATTTTGTATTGGGAGTAAAGTTAGGCTATCGGAAGTTCTTGTTTTTATTCATATAACATTAGGGAAAAGGATGCATACCTAGGGAGAATAAAAGTTTCGTGTGCTGATAAATCTTATTTGAATTATTAATGTTTTTAGGTTTCATTCCCCATCTGAAATATCTATGATTGACATTTGTGTTCCACACATATTCCATCATGCTTGGGTGTTGGGGTACAATCCTCTAAATATGTGGATAAACTTAGATTATCCAGTATACATGTGTTGAGCGTATACCTTTATCTAATAGTCACCTTTTTGTCCGGGTTGTATGCAAATAAAGCTGTTATTAACTAAAAAGAAAGGAAAATTTCTTATTAGTTCGGTCTTAATCACCTATTTTGGGAGGGGCAAATTTAACTGAAATTGATGTCCATGATCATGCTCTGACTGTCTTGGCCATCTTGTTTATTTGAAACAAGCGTGGTGCCCCCTGTGTAATGGGTGTAATGGTATTTCATAAACTACCTTTATCAGTTTTCAGCTTGTAATCTAATGTTTGTACGTGGTGATTTTGATTGAATATCGGTCAGTAATCACAGGGTTGAATCTTCACCAACCATTGAAGGTCTTACTTCTTAGCGTATTTTAATCTTTGAGTATTCTTCACCAATTTCACATGGACTGAAATGCCATAGAAGGCCTTAGTGTGTTTAATCTTTGAGTGCTCTCTCTTGAGGATTTAACTCAACACTCCCTTCCTAGGAAATATTCATATCAGCTATAACTTCTGAACAAGTAGCTCAATGAGAATCTGACGAAATTGGTTTTGACTATTCATTCTATTTCAATACTGTAAACTTCTATGATAAATGAAACACTACATGCGTCTTTGCATTTTAATAACTAGATAGTATACTTATTCTTAAGAATCTCTCAGCTAAATGCCTTCATGCGTACTGACTGATTATTCTTTTCAATTTTGGTGGCTCTTCTGTATTTTGCTTTCTAGAAACATTGTACTTCATGTCTTTCATATGCAACTCAAATTCAGTTTGTGGGGAAATTAAAATTTTTGAAGCTAATGTTTTATTGTTGTACAATTATTATTTGGCTTTTTGAAATCAATAACTATAATCTGGGATGCAGGATTGTTTCTTTACCATCAAACTTGGACTTCATGATCTTCAACCACAGAGCCAAAGCACTTCCTTTTGAAGTTGACATGAAGCTGAAGCATTAAGATTGAAGAAGCTTCATGGTGCTTCTATTAAGGAGATTACCGGTCTGTTGAGCTTTAGAATAGAGAACCTATGTATCATCAGGTCATTGTTGATTGTTTTCCGATATGGTAGTGCTTTTGACCATTCACCACTAGTTGGCTCTCTTTTTATTTTTTCCATTTTATTTTGCCTGACATGTCATTAAACCTAGTTTTCAGTTCGAATAATTATCAGGGCTTGTAACAGGCCAGCAATTCTATATATGTTCTTTACATTTTCCTCGTGTCCCTGGTTCTAACCTGTTTAGAGTTTGTCATGGAGCAAAATCATGGAATTCCCAGTTATATCCAATCCAAGTGGGTAGAATCAAATTTCATCTTTGGTTAATTATTTTTTGTTTGGTGTTGAATTCAGCTTAGTGCTTTTAGTTTTCTAACCTGTTTAGAGTTTACATGGAGCAAAATCATGGAATTCCCAGTTATATACAATCCAAGTGGGTAAAATCAAATTTCATCTTTGGTTAATTATTGTTTGTTTGATGTTGAATTAATGGATTCTTGGGGTTGGGGTTGATGGTTGGTGTATTATTTTGTATCCTATTATCGCATGGTTTTGAATCATGAATTGAGCCACAGAGCCAGGCATGACAACTCCTACCCATCTTGTCTGTTGTCCTGCTACGTTCTACTATTTGCTTCGCTATATACCAGCATGGTGCATGATATATAAAATGTACCATTAACAAATTTCATAGCGTAATATGAATTCGTTCCTAACAATTGATTTCCAGACCAAATACCACAACTCGAGTCAGGAAGACACCTCAAAATCGATGGATTCTGACCTCAACCTGGTCCAATCTGATCGGGTGTTATTGCACCCCTTACCATTGTCATCTCTAAGCCAGATGCATGTTCTGTGGTGGACAAATTAAACATGCATGCACATTTAAGGTACAACATTTAGTTCAGGCTTCTAATGATCCAATATTATGGTTCAATGCAAAAGTCTCAACAATCCACAATCAGACAGCCCCCCATCTCTGGCCCTTTTACCCTTTACCGCCACACTTTCTGTTGTCTGTATGCAATAAGAAAACAAACAGAGGTGGCAAAATCTGCAGCACAAATTGGTGGACCTTATCAACACAAAACTGCAAAACATATCATCTGATGCAATAATGAAGTCTAGGATTAACCTGTGGCTCAAAAGAGGGGTCAAGTTGACTGCCTATTCCATGCAAAAATACCATTGCTATGGCACAATCCAAACTCGAAAATATTGTCTACTTGACAATGCTGTGATGCTCAAAAGTGAAAATCTGCAAGTTTTACGCGCTACCATAACTAAAATGACGTGGTTTACTTTACTTCCCGTCCCATGGGGGCTCAGGCATTTCCATTAAAAAATGATATCATACAAATAATAGAAGCTAATCAACGCAATCATCAAAGAAAGTGTGCCAACAAATTCTTTCTCATAGCTTCATTCCTGAAGTTTCTTAACCTATATATTTTATCTAATATAGAGGTGAGAGGAAGACCACATGGATCACAATAAGTGATAATTACCAGGACAGATTCTTCCCCTATTTATATCCAACATAAGTTCACATTACAGACAGCAAAATTCCAAATAAAAGACATATTTAAGGAAGGGGAGACAACCTCAATTCACATGGATAAGATTAAAAAGAATAGCATAACGCATGGCTTCAACTTCATGGCTATAAGTGCAATGAAGCAGCTGAAGAGGTTCCCTATCCCATTTTATTCAAAAACCAAGAATGACAGAAGCACTAGAAGAGCTGAAAATTCAGGAACTTCAAAGAAGGGACACTTTTCAGTTATTGTGCTCGAAAATGGCAAGCCCAAGAAATTCTTTGTTGCTCTAGGATATCTTAGATATCCACCATTTATCAAGTTGGTACATGAAGCAGAAAAGGAATACGGTTTCAATCAAAAGGGTGTTCTAGTCATCCCCTGTGAAGCAAGTGAACTCGAAAGAATTTTATAGTACGCATGGATGGAAATCAAGCATTCCAACAGGTAATGTAAAGATATCATTCTTTAGGTTCCAAGTTTTTTCTAGAGTTGTGATTTGACATTGTTATATTGTGAAATATGAATCCAAAGAAACAACCATTCCTTCCACTTTAACAAAAGCAGATGAGAATGAGGATGAAAAGCCATGTGTATATAATACAGCATAAATCATTCTCATCTGTCTCTCACAGCTTCGATACATTCGAGTCAATGTTCAAACATAATTTGGCTTCCATCTCCCTAATTTTTTTTCCTTCTATAAAGAAAACTGTTAGTAATTACTTTCCTGCAGCCTAAAACGGTGTGCATTGATGGAAACATCATTTACTCAACATTGAGTTCATAAAAATTTTCCCAAATAAAAGAACTTATAAGAGCATAAATACTTTCAAGTTGCAATAATGATACGATAAATGGATACAGATTTTCTCATGACATTGAAGGAAGACTGTTAAATCAGTATGTAGTAAAACACATATAATGACAAAAATGAAGAACCTCATTAACAAAGAATTACTAGAGAGTAAAGTTATTGATGTCAAAATAATTGCTCCCATACCTCTAAAGTCTGTTTTTGAACTACGTGTTTGAGAATGGTCCATGCAACTGTAATAGTTAGCAATGATCCTATGATAAAGTGGCACAGGGCACTAAGAAAATTAATTAAAAGAAAAATATATTCATGGGATTCGCAAAAAGAACAACCTAAAATACACACTTCAAGACTGATTAAGTTCCACATGATATTCCGTGGTTTGTCTGAGAATAAACACATCTCTTCTTTTCTTATCATCCCTCTCCTCGTTTGGCAATAATGCTGTTGCGCACCTCTTACATTTCTTCTGCGAGCACGAATCTAGTGGCTCACCGGAAAATTTTCTTGCCAATTCTGAAATCAAAACCGACATCATCTCTCTTTTCAGGAAAAAACATCTTTTCACCATCTGATTCATTAGATAGCTCACCTTTCATTGCTTCAATGATCGGAGCAAATGCCTGTTGCACGGACAAATGATTGTCCTATCTGCTTCATCAGAAGGCTTAGCTGGTAGAACTAGCTCTAAAACATACTTCTCCCCTGGTTGCAGTGGGCAGCAAGAAAGGGGTTATTTCCAAATGCTTGTAATCTTTCCTTTTCGGCATTTGTGTGCAAGGCAGCAAGGAAGCTGAAAATCCAGAAGAAACATTACACACCAGCACCTGTTGAAACTTGAAACATTAGCAAAGCCTTCTCAGCCTTTCTCCGCTGCCTTGCTTGCTCAATCTTATCAACATGGCTCCAATACCCTCTCATTCTACATAGGTGTACGAATATAAGCGTGAGGATTAGGGAAAGCCGGCAACTAAGTTGGGATATGCTTACTAGGTGGGTTCACTGTAACACTCTAAACCGATACAACACAAAGTCGACCGATTTGAATATCACACGTAACTGCCCAAGTAACTAACCCAAAAATTTTATTTAATTACTTTTAAAATAACTATTTAAACCCATTTAAAATAAAGAGATTCAAACATAAATATATAAATAGTTCACATTCAGGAGCTCCCAAAATAAGTTTATTAAAATAATACAATCGAGTGTTACAAAATAAAGTTACAACTTGAACACACAAAGGGACTATAAATGATACATGCCCTCTAAGAGATATAGCTCGAGACGTACTCAGCTTCTTACTCGGTCTGGAAAGCTGATGCTAAAAATGGCTCATCGAATGCTACTCCTAAATATTGCGCACGAAAACAAATTCCGAACGTTGAACTCACTAGCCCAGAGCCATATTAACAATTAAATCATACTAAAAGTGTTAATTAAAAGCTCATTTGTGCGAAGACCTTTTTCGATTGTTGCGAAAATCAGGATAAATTTAGAAAAAAATCGAATTTGTAGAAAATATTTAAAAATGTTTGGAGTCGCCATCAATCTCTGGGATTAGGTAGGTTGAAAACCCGAGATACACCTTTTAAAAAATAAAATTTTTTAAAAAGACGCAATTTGGCCTGTGATTCACAGATTATGGGTTCGAGAGTTGATTACGTTTGAGGAAGGATTAACACCCTCAACGCCCAAAATTAATACCTCCAATTATAACTTTGTCCTTATATTAAATATTAAGAAATTCAAATATTTTTTTAATTAATGATACTTTTATTCCCTAAAACATATTAAATTTTAAAGAAACACACAATATTATTTATTTTCAATTAAAGAAGAAAGTAACTCCCTAATCGGAATTAAGACGGTTATTTCTTATATTTTAATTGAAATAATGATATATTAGCAACCAAAAAATTTAAAAGAATTAATCAATTACTAAACCTTAAAAAAAATTAATCTGACACGCTCAGGAGTAAATGCCAGGAGAAAAGACTCGCTCAGGAGATCAGTGACATTGAAAAGGATTCCGGCTTTAAATTGAGAGTTTTAGCACAAAATTACCCTGACACGCCAGGTACGAGTAATATATTTTCTGTCATTGGCTTCACTGAAAAAGAAAAGATGTTCTCTTAACACTAGAATTATTTCTATTTTTAATTCTTGAAGTTGTTTGCAAAGTTCAAATTTACTTGAACTTCTCAAATTGCTACTGGGTTGGTAATCAAAGACTTTTAGCGAGTAGATGATAGAACTATAGTTTTCGTTGCTGATCCCAAAAGAATTTGGCTATGTCAATGTCCTTAGACAGTGATATGATATACGAGTGTTTTTAATTATATATGGATTTTGGACAAGGCAATATATTAAATATCAATGTTGGGGCTACTGTTGACTTAGACATTCCCCGAAGCTTTTGGAGCCGTTTGGCAGGGAAATATGGAAATATGTTTTACTGGAAAGAGAAGGTAAAGTTTACTTGTTCATCCATGGATAAATCACAGTTTGTGCCTGAAATGTTCAGTTTATGCCATATTTTTACCCTGTAAAGTAATTTCGAGTTATTTCTGCTGGAACAGGGGGAAGAAGCGTCTATTGAAGCTGCTGTCATGGCAATATCCAATTGCTTAAGAGAACCTGTGGGATCAAGTAATTGCTCCGAGGTAAAATAGCACTATATCAGTACTACAAGCATGATTTGTTCCTTATCTTTTTCTTTTCATTCCTCTTGGTGAATAATCTTCGGCAACTGACTTTGTATAGGTTATGTACTATTATAAACCTAGTGGTAGAAATTTGTGTAGCATTAGAAATTTAGAAAACAATATATGAACCATGTTAAGAATCTCATATCTTGTCCTCGTGTATGATCCTTAGGCTTGTTGGATGTATATTTAACAATCTCGAAGCATGAAACTGATCACCTATTGTACTTACATTACATCTGCAATTTTTTTTGAGAAGGGGGGGGGGGGGGGGGGGGCTAAAAAGACATTTCTGATCTAGAAAACCTTCCATGGGATCTTTTTTGCACTGTATAAATATTGGCAGATATATGAATACAGAGATCAGTACACCGACACTCTGGTGTATGTTTCTGTTTCTGCTGAAGTTGTAATAATGTGGAACTTTACATGCAGGGCAAAGCAAAAACCGTCTTCATGGTCGAATTGTTAGAACCATTTTATCTTTTAAACATTTGAATAGTGATTAGCAGGAAATCAGAGGGAAAAAAGTTACATTAGCTTACACTACACCTAGAGGCTAGTAGTAGTTCACTTTATTTAGTGATCTAAGATCTTCTGCAACTCTTCAGGGGGACAAGGGAGTGTTAAAGCTCCCATTTGTTGGAATCCATATTCCTCTTTAGCTTGCTCTAATAACATCAAAAACTCTGGATTCCTCAGATAGCTCAGCTCCAAGATAAACCTCTTTGATTTCCCACCATTGACTGCAATCACTGCAAAATGCCCTTCTTTCACATCCTTTGGTATCTTTGTTTCTTCAACATCTTCATTGAATTCGGCCACATTTTGATCAGGGTCTCTTGTCGGTAACTCCGAGAGGAATCGCTTTACCTTTTTCATCAAAAGCCTGACCATTACGAGCCCTGTATGGCGTTGTTCCCAGTTCTGCATTTGCACAAGCTTCTCCAAAATGCGATTTCGTGATTGATCGATTAGTGGATCTTTAGAGATAGGGATTTATAAAGTTGGGGGTTGGTGGGGGTGTGTTAAAAGGAAACTGGAAGCATATGTGAAATTTCGGATAGACATTATGAGGGACATTTTCATATGCTTGGAGCCAAACTATCATTTAATGCCATCTTTGATAGTCTACATACATTTTTCCATGTCTCTTTTTAAACGCGGTCTACAGAAGCAACATGCATGCAGCAGTGGGTCGGCCTGCCTGGATTCGTTGAGCTGTGTTTCTACCATGCAGTACATTATTTCATAGTAAAAAAGAAAAGGAAAAATCATCAGCCCGTGAACATGGATTTGTACTATATTAAGCATTAACATAAAACCAATTGTCAATGAAGAAATTCATTTTAAATTCTAAACAATCATAAATTTAACCAGTACAAGATATAGGGTCGGTTCATGGGATGTCGGCATGATGCTCGTATTTAATGCATTAAAACTTACCCTTGTTTGTTGAAATCAATAAAAAATATGATATATTAGTCATGGCTGACACATTCAGAAAGTGATGGAAACGAGTAAAGCAATGTCATTTCATCATCAGTGAAAGCCAAAGGTACAATATCTCTGAAAATTTTCCACTGGGAATTCCAAGAAGGTATCGTACCCATATTTGTTAACCAAGTAATCCATGAAGCAATGAACCTTTGCTCGCTGGTTGGAATTTTCAAGTAAATCGTATACTTGGGTATTTTTGGAACCGACAACCGAGTAGGTTTTTGTACCTTAGATTCCTTTCCCATCGTTATCATTAGTCAAGATCTGAAGGAAGTCAAGAAAATCCAATAATTGCATCTCACAAATAATACATAAAAATGGATTTTTTTCACTGTGTTGTACGAATCTGTACAATCTGATACGGTTGTCTTGTCTGATGGTTGAGGAACAGATTGAGGAATTTTGCGAGTATGAAACAGTGGCGTTTGCTTTGTAGATTTGAAACGACCATAGCTGATTTCGGCATGGTTCTTGAATATCATCAACCCTCTTTTTCTTTCTGCCCTGTTCTTGAATTTGATAGCCAACTTCTCTGTGAATTTATGAGTTCCTTTGAAATCAATGCTCCTTTATGCTAGACTTCAAGAGTATTTACATTGTTTTGCCAATAGGTGATTGAAATATCTAAGTAATCCTGTGGGGTCAAATTGATTGTTGTAGTACTAGGCCGTTAACATATGTAGTTTGATTATCTTTCACAGAGAGACTTTGAACTGAACTTAGTCCATACTCCTACTTGGTATGCATTGTTAATAAAGGTCTTTTAATTGAGATCCATTAATTGGCTGAGTGGTTAATGACGCTCATGTTGTTCTACCTTATATAGATTAGATTCTAGGTATTTGCTTTGGACTTGTAATACCTCTCTACTTACTATAAAAAAAAGAAAAAGGTCTCTAATTAGCATTTTGCCCTTTGCTGTGTTCTAGAATCTCTTGCAGTTCACGGCGTCGATAAGGGGGAGAAAGAACCCCTTTCTGCTGGAATTCATATTATTCCCTAGCTTGATCGAGTAGACAGAAATTCAGGATTTGTTAACTGGTCTAATTCAATAGCAAACATCTGCATTTCTTTTCCACTGCGACACAGTAAAAATCCTTCCTTAACATCACTCAGTACTGCTTTACCGACACTCATGTCTGCTTCAATTTGGAATGGTTGAGTGCTGGAAATGCGCTATATGCTGAACTCAAGAATCCCTTTCGTAGTTTTTGAAAGAAAGGCTTGAACATCATTAAACCTCTTTTTGCTTTCTGCCATGTTGTTGATTGAGAACTTCTCAGTGAATTTACTTGAAATCAATGATCCTTTATGCCAGACTTGGAGGGTATTTATATTGGTTTTCCAGTAGGTCATTGATATGAAGCCACACGGTATTTACGGTTCTCAACATGAATATTCATGATCAAAGCATTTTCTTGCTTTCGCCTCATCTTTCCACAAGATATTGCAGATAATGCGGAACTAAATTTAGTGCTTCTTGATAACACCCTTGATGTGTAAAATTGGTAGTTGCCAGTGGGGAGAATTTACTGATGTTAAATATAAATTGATTGACTGAGTGTTAGTCCATTTGCATATATAGTTTGAACATCTTTCAAGTACCTTACACACTTGAGCTATCAGAGAAACTTTAAACTGAAGTTAGAAGTTCATATTCCTCCTTAACATGCATTGTTAATTCACTCTAGTATTTGATTATTGTTTCTGCAATTCTCTGTGTTTTCTATACGGGAATGCATGCATGATTCGATTCGTTTCAGTTCAACAACGAAAAGTAGGATGTCACTGGATAATTTGATGTTTTAAAAAACATTTTCAAAAAATGTGTTTGGAGAGAAATAATTTCAAGTGAGATAATTTTTTTTCAAGAGAAACAGTTTTGGTAGAGACGATTTTTTCAAAGAAATAGTCTTAGGGTGCGTTTGGTTCACGGAATGTAAGATTACCAGTGGGAATAAAAGATTACCAGGGAATAGGATTACTTGGAATGTTGTATTTTGTGTTTGGTTGGTTTAGCAGGAATGTAAGATTACCGTGTTTGGTTAAAGAAATAAAAGATTATTGGAATGTATATTTGACCAAATTGTCCTTGTTATATATTTATTTTTTAACAAGTTGGAAAATATTTATATATTTTCTTTAAAAAATTTAAATTCATAAAATTTATATAAAATTTTACAAAATTGAAAATATAAAAAGGTTTAATGAAAGGGTAAAATTTTATTTTACCCCTGAACTTCATATAAAATTTTAATTATAGATTTTTTTTTGTAAATCTAAAATAGTTTAAGGATAAATTTATAATTTAACCTTCGTAGAATTTTTATTATTCAATGACAGAATAAATATATTTTTGAAAGAAAAAAAATTTAAGGGCATTTTAGTCCAAAATGCCAGTAATCCAACAATACCTAAGGAAAGGGAGGTAATGACATTCCTGGTAATATACCCTAAAAAATCTACTGTTGGTAATGTAAGATTATCGGGAATGACATTCCCGGCCAACCAAACGGGGGAATGTGGATTCCATTCCCATGTGAATCTCACATTCCCCCAACCAAACACACCCTTAAAGTTCAAGAATTAAAATCTCGAGAGAGACCATTTTTCTTTTTTTCCCCCTAACAATCTCAAATGTTATATTTAAAGGGAAAGAAATCTCAAGCGATAATAAATCTCGTTTCAAGGGAATCTATCTTGAGTTAGATAAAATTTTGTTTCAAGAAAAACAATCTCAAAGTTTATTTTTTGAGAGAAACTATCTCCAGTAGACGAAATTTTTTTCGATGGAAACTATCTCAAGTAAGATAAAAATTTTGATTTGAGGGAAAATGTCTTGAGCGGGGTAAAATGTTTCCAGAGCTTAAGTGAGATAAAATAATATTTCAAGGAAAACATCTCGAGTGAGACAAAATTTATTTCAAGAGAAACTACCTTAAGTGAGAAAAAATTATTTTGAGGAAAAAATGTCTTGAGTGAGACAAAATTTATTTCAAGGGAAACTATCTCAAGGAAGATAAAAAGTTTGTTTAAAGAGAAACTATCTCAAGTGAGATAAAGTTTTTGTTCTTACGAAGTGTTGCAACTGGCTCCTCGGGGGAAAGTTGACGAGTTGCAACGAAATGTGGGGTTTTTGAAATGTTTTGAAATGGTTTTTTTGATATGTTAGGAGTCACCACCAATCATTTTAAGGTGCGATTGGAACAACATAAAAATTAAATAATTTTAATAAAATATTTTTATTTTTATAAAAACACCATGTTTGGGGTCTGCGAAAAACAAAAAATAGGTTAAGGAGTCGATTATGCGTGAGGAAGGGATATCACTCCAAAACGTCCAGAAATTGGTACCTAGTTGATTATCATATTTTAAAATTTGAAAGTTTGGAGTTCGAAGTTTTATTTAATTTAAAAATCACTATATATGCAAAGTTGAAGAGGGTGTTCGTTTATTAAAGCTAATAATATTCACCCTAGCATGAATGTGGGAGATTAATTATTGTGCCCAATAACCATACATTGCCTCAATATTTCAAAAAAGAAGAGGTTTTTAAAAGGATGTTGACCTACTTCGAGAATTACAAATTGTCGCCCCTAGAGCATGACTACGGGAACTATACCATTAATTCATTAATAAGTCAACATTTTCTTATGTTTAAGAAAGAAATGCAATCAATCAACAAATTTAAGAACCTAATTATACTAAGTGAGTTTATTAAAGGATTTCCTAACCTAAAGTGTCAGCTTATGAAAATTAATGATCTTAAAGGACTAAACCTAAATTGAGGCATCTAATATCAATACAAGCTGATTTTAACCAATTATTGAATTGAATAATCAATTTGAGCAATAGAACATCTTAATGCGAAAACCCAAATCGTATCATTCTCTAATTAAAGAACTAAGATGAGTGAAGGCTCTAATTAATCTTAATTTATTATGTCAATTGGTTGATTTTATTTTAAGTTTAGGGACTAAGGTGGTGATAATCTAATATTAAAGGACTAAATCTAATAATTTAAGGCTCTAGTTAACCCTACCTAAGTAGTTAAAAGAAAACCAAGGTTTTATAAATTGATGTGATAAATTAACTAATTATTGACTTGAACAACCAACTTTAGGTCATTGGGCATGTTTATGTGAAAACTCAAGTCAGGCTGCTCCTTAATTAAAACTAGGGTGAAAACAACCTAACATCTAAATCAAATTATTTAAAAGAGAATAAACCTAACCTAATGGTAAATTCT